AAATAGTTAATTTGATACTAATATTGATATATTTTTTTTTTCAAATTTTTATGATATCTTCAAACATATATTTTATTCAAAAATAAAAACATAATCGCTTTCTCAAAATCACATAAAACTATATTATAACATCGACTGAGATAAATAATAAAATAAAATATTAAAATCACGATGTATCTTGCATTGCGCGAGTACGCTTCTAGTGTATATATATATATATAGTCAGGTTCATATGATAATGATACATATTTAAAAAAAATAATAAAATGGTCGAATCAAATGTGATTTTATACTAACCTCACGTAAAAAATCACAAGTGATTCACATGACTTTGCCCTGCGATCTGAGGTCGCAACCAAAGTTGCCTGTGCCCCCTTGTTTTCCATTAATATAAAATCACATGTGATTTTATACGTAATTTGGTTATTTTCTTACTTTTTAAATATATATTATTTTCATATGAACCTATTTTTATATGTATAGGTTTAAATTTAATGAGAAATAAAAGCAACATGAATATAAATGTTTAGAAATAAAAAATAATTACATACAACATGAATGACTTAAATAATTAAATAACATTAATGCAAATTAACTAACCACCTTAATATTTCAACTATGAAAAGCATTAAAATATTGTGTTGTTTAGTGCAATTAAACGAGAATCCCAAGAATTTTTACCTCGTCAATGGAAAATGTTTCGTGATTGGTATATTCAAAGCATGATTCAACTTGTTGATACTAAAACTCTTAGGATCCGTTTACCAAACACTTACCCGGTAAATATTTATCGGTAAAATTTAACACTGTTAGTTACTTACCAAATAAGATTTTAGTCAATCAAAACGACATTGTATGCAACAGTTCATCCAGTAAATCGCCCTTACTTACCGGGTAAGACTCATGGTCATTGTATCGTTCTTATCGGATAAGATTCTTAGTCTTTGTCATATTCATCCGGTGAGGTAACATGACTTGGTAAGCGCTTACGCAGGTAAGTGTTTGGTAAACGGCCCCTTAGTGATTTGATGATGGTCGCTTATACTTGGTTACTTTGTGAAGTTCTAACTGAAAACTACTAGCGATTGAGTCTTTTTAGTGCTCGTTGAGTACTACAATTGTTTAGAACCTAAGTTTTTTCAAGACAAGATTCATATAAAACAAACTTCCGCGATGTCAAAGAAGTAGTCGAAGATAAAAATAGGTGGACCTGAAGTGGCGCTTAGTGATACAATCTATCTGAAGAAATGTGAAGCTTTACTCAAGAGTTCAGCTATCACTCAAGATGTCTTCAATGTTCCTCCTGTAGCATATATAGAAACATATATGTATATATATGCTCACCTTGAGAACAAGATTAATTGCATAATAACAATTATGCTTTATATATAAGCATCAAGTATATATAT